CATGGCTGCCTCTCCCGGGATGTCTGGGCGGAATGCACAGCACAGTGCAGTTGATTCCTGTCAATGCCAAGGAAGGTCTCAGGGAGTCTGTTCCAACAAAGGGACTTGGGTCCGAGTCCTAAGTGGCAAAGAAGCATCCCCCGGGCCTTTGCCTGTGCTGTTCCTGCCTCCTGGAGTGTGGTCTCTCTCCCTGCCAGCACCGCCACCTCCCCATATCCCTCTGGCAAACTTCCCCCGGCCTTTCGGGCTGCAGTCCAAGAGGGCTTCCTGCAGGAAGCCCCTCGGGCCCCTCCTTCCCTCCTCCCACCACGCCTCGTGTCCGCTGCACTCCAGCTGCAGGACGGTGCCAGGCTACGTGCTCCCAGAGGGCAAACACCGAGCCACCAGCACAGTGCAGGGCACACAGGCGTGGCCACATCTTCAGGGAACAAAGGAGTGGGTTGCTGATTGGATGGGCAGCGGCCACCGGCCAGGCGGAGGGCTGTGGGATTACCAGCCTCTGGGGCTCCCGACCTCTGAGGCAGAGAACCCTGTTCCGAGAGGCCCTGTCATCCCATCATGTCCTGCCCTGCTGCTCCCAGCCATCTTCCAGCCCTGCCTGCTTGCTGAGTCACACAGTCTCCTACCTACAGGAGTGACTCCCTAGGATGTAGGTTTTCCGTGGACTGTATAAGCAGGGCTGCCATGTGGCACAGCCGTGGGGGGCTTCATTCATCTCGTCGCTTCAGCATTGGTGCTCCCTGTGGGTGTGCAAAACGCAGACTCCGCTGTCCCCTGAGGTGGCCCAGTGCCACTGCCCGGGGGCTCTCCTCCTCCCTCCACTCCTGCCTGGCCGGCGCTGGCCCTTGGGGTCTTTGGGTTCACCTCTGGAGGTAGAGGCCATGTTCATCAATCATGTTGTGGGGCACCTGGTGTGGTAAATAACAACGGAGCCTCTTGAGGGAGCTCCTAGGAACCAGACCCAAGTGCAGGTGAACTGTGGCATGAATCATCCCCACACATTGCATGACATAAGATCGCCCTATGGGATGGAGAGGACGGATTGCTTTGGAGGGGGCAGGACGGTTACCAATGTGCTTGAACCAATATTCAAATGTTCTTACATTGCCTGGAGTAAAATGGGAGAAGGGGGCCCCAACATCCCTTGCAGGCAAACGAGACGAACCCAGGAAGGAAATGCCCGCTGCAGGTCTGCAAAGGGTGTAATCCAGGGTGGACAGTAGGGCCTTCACTGCTGGATGTTTCTTAGAAAGGGCCCGAGGCCACCTGTTATGTGTGAATCCCATCTCAGGGTGCGCCATCCTAGGGAAGCAAGAGTAGGGGAAAAGGGAAGTGAGGCAGGGGTGGGAGAGAGCAAACGCAGGCTGGCCACAGCTTTGCAACCAAACACAGCTGGCTGGCTGCTCAGGCACCCAGCATGAATCCAGAGAAGCCTCATGGGGCCACCACATTTTAGACCAGGAGGTTGGGGGAGAAGAAAGTCAAGAAGTTTATCTCTTGTCTCCTTCCCATTAACTGCCTCTCATTGGTCAAAGCCTATGTCATGGGGCTTTTCCTCTCCCTGACTTCAGAGTGTCACCTGACCCCTCCCACCGTCACCCAGGGAGCGAGGGCCTCGAGGGTGCGGCCCGGCAGTGAGCAGCACAGGGGTCTCTCCCTAGCAGTCGGCTCCTTCTCTGGGGGCAGTGGCTTTATGTCCGTGGGACTGAGTAGCAAGGCAAATGGCCCGCAGGGCGGGCAAGGTGAGCAGATCTGGGGTGGCATGTAAGCTAAGTCCTATTTCTTGGAATCGGCACAAAATGAACCTAATTTCAGCAAAGGAGTTGATGAGGAAAGGCTAAGGGGACTGATGTCAGCAAGTATAACCTTTGTTTCCCTCACGGGCAGATACATTGGTCTTCATGTCTAGCACCATCAGGGTCAGCTGTCCCTGTTTTCATCGAGAAACCGAACGTAAACTACAAGAAGGCAGCAAGATGCAGAAAAACTCTGGATAGTAGGAACTCAGCTGTCCAAAGCCCTTGTTCATGAGGAATGTATTGCTGCATAACAAAAAGCTGCACACTTCAGTGGCTTAACACGACACACGTTTATTTTCTCACAGTGCCCGTGGGCCAGGAGTCGGGGCATGGCTTGACCGAGTCCTCGGCTCTTGGTGTTACACGGCCGCAGCCAAGGGCTTAGCCAGGGCTGTGGTCTCACTGGAGGCTCGGCTGGAGAAGGATCACTTGCAGGCTATCTGGGTTGTTGGCAGAATCCAGGTCCTTGCAGTCATAGGACTGAGAGCTTCAGTTTCTTGCTGGGTGTTGGCCAGAAACCTCTCTGAGCAATGAGGGGTCACCTGCAGTTCTTGCCACTTGGGGTTCCCCAGGATGCCGCTTGCATCCTCTGAGCCATCAAGGGAGGAAAAAAAAGAGTCCAGCAAGACAGGTGCTACCTTCTCATGTAACGTTCTCCCATACACATCATCCTGTATGTCCACTCCTTTGCCGTATTCTCTTGGTTAGAAGAAAGTATGAGTCCCACCCATACTTAGCAGAGGGTGTCACGTACATGGACGTGAGCACAGGAGGCTGGGACCGTGGGGGCCACCTGGAGAGTCTGCCCACCACATTTTGCTAGAACTCTACTTACAGACAAAAGCATCAGGCAAAAGCATCAAATAAGTAACTCCCCCCCAACCAACATGTTTATATCAGGAACTAAGTTAAAAAAAAAAAAGTTCCATGGGATGTGCTGAGTCAGCCCACGCAGCCTTCTACAGCCCCCAATATGTACCAGTAGGAAAATGGCCCAGGGTCCAGTCCATTCCGCCCCTCCTGCCTGCTCTTTGAAAAGCCAAGAAAATGGTCTCCATCCGCAGAAAGGGAGGCAGAGCCTTACTCCGTTGTCATTGTTTTAAAACACTTTCCAACATTAAAAGGACAATTTTCTGCTTAAATATCAACAAACCAGAACATTCAATTACCTAGAAAATCCCCATTCTTAAAGTGTTCAAGGAACCTGAGCCTGCTTGAAAAAACAAAGGCAGAGATTCTGCATCCCATGCAATGGTCGTTTGCAGACTTGCCATGGAATGAGCAGCCACTGAATGAAGGGAGCCCCGTGAGGGGGCTCGGATTTGGGGCTGTCTTGGTTGGCCCCCCACCTGCAGCTGTCTCTTCCTCGGGGCCTTTCTCCGTGGCTCCTGCCTGCCGCCTGCCTGGCCTCACGTAGGCTCAGCCACTGTGTCAAGACATAATTGACTGAGTGCCTCAGACCAGTCCAGGCTCTACTGAGCCCATCAGGGTAGGAACAATGGGGTGGCACCTCAAAGGAGGAAGGCTATTTCTAAGGCTCATGGTTGATGGACCACACTCACTGTGATTACCATTTTAATTGCAAGGCCACCACCACCTTATATTCAGGGTGCAGATTTCAAAGACCACAGAGCACTCTGCAGGCTTTAAAAAGAGACCCTGGAACAATTGGTTTCAGACCAGAAGGAACGCATTATGATATCTTTCTCTTTTGGGCTCCACGTTGCAATCAAATGTCCCAGAGAGGACAGCTCTGACCCTCTGTGTCAAGGTCTGACTCAGATCCCACCTCCTCTGGGACCTTTCCCCAAACCCATAATCACTCCCATTCTCTCACGTGATCTGCCTCCCTGGTCCCACTCCCCCCCACCAGAACCCCTTCTAGAACTCACCGCTCCTACCTCTGATTTGGCAAAACAAAAAACAAAAACAAAAAAAAACCACACAGAATTCTGACATCTCTTCCCGTGGTGTTTTGAGATGAAAATACCTTCACACTCTGTGGGCTGCTTCCTTCTTAGCGGGCAGGAAGCGTGTCTCATTCTCTGTCGTGATCCCTACAACTGCCACCATGCTCTGCACGTTGGCGAAGTTTTTGCACGCATTGTCCCTTGTGCTTGGCACATTTGTAACTCAAAATATCGCCTCAGTTAAGTCCAATTTTGTGAGCTTTCCAGAGTAGAATGCTCACAGCTTCTCTTTTATTTTTCAGATTAAACAACATACTTAATATAAAGCTCTTGTATCGGGCACACAGGAAATGCTTAATATGTGTGATCTGTTCTCACGGCTTAACACCCATGATCATTACCAACCTGGGGTTCATGGTTTGACACACAATGACCAAAGCCAAGATATGTCAGCCCTTTTTGATTTTTTTTTTAAGACAGGTATATTGAGGAATAACGGATACGCAGTAAAATCTATCCTAATGAGTGGACAGTTCTCTGAGTTTGGAGAACCAGGTACAATTACCATACAGTTTCCTTAGCCGTAAATTCTAGCACGTTATAATCTGGAGCTCTTCCTCGTGTGGTCTCATGCACACTTCATTAGAATACCCTGCAACTGCTTCCAGAAAAATGCCCTTTTCCCTCCTCTTGGCTAGTCTAGGAGCCGTTTCCCAAAGTGGCCCTGACCTTGGGTAGCATCTCTCCGAGGAAGCAAATCCAGAGTCAGAACAAAGTTTCCCCACGGTCATCGGGGTTGGCGTATTTCTAAGAGGCCCCACTTAGTTGCAAGAACACGAGAATGTGGTTGGGTCCTAACAAAGTGCATTTGGATAATTGAAATTTGGCGAGAGTCAAAGCAGGCCGGTAGGGCACAGTCTCTCTGTGTGCGCACGCTCACAGTTGAGTCCTGTCCCCGTTGGCTCATCTGTGGGTGGGACAGGTAGAGTCGGGGGGAGCATGGGCTGCAGAGCATTCGGGGCCTCTTGGAGGGCAGGGACAACGTCTTATCCTGACTTACGTCCCCAGCAGTTCGCATAGCTCATATTGGTATCTGTTGAGTGACCTTGTAAGTGGTCGTAGGTCACCATGGGGTGGGACCATGCCATCTTGGGGCAGACCTGTCCGTCCCTCATTGGTTTCTGAAGACAGTGGGGAGAAGCCCCCCGGGAGGGGCCCTGTCTCTGCTCTCCAGGGGTCCTCCCGTCCATCCCCGGTGACATCAGCAGCCCCCTCACTTCTGTGCTTGCAGAACTACTTTGAGAGCTACCTGACCATCGCCTCCACCGTCTCCTCTGTGCTGTGCCTCATGGCGAACTTCCTGCTTGTCAACAGGTAGGCCACGTTCCTTCCTCCGCCAGCCCCCACCCTTCGCCTCCAGCCATCTCCACGTGCCTCTCGCTCCCAGCTGCTGCTTTTCTGCCTGCTCCAGGGGCAGCCCCCCAAGTAGGAGGCCTGCAGGGAAGACTGAGAAGTCAGCCCGGCGACCTGGGGCCCCGCCGAGGGAAGCCGGGGCAGGGAGCTGGACTTTCACTTCCCAGCCACACACTAGGACACTGGGTCAGCAGCCAGTGGGAGGCATGTGGGGACCCGGCTCTTCCTCCTTTCCCATCTGGGGTGCCTGTGTGTCACCAGCTGCCTGGGCTGCAGACGGGGTGGCCCGAGGCCAGCATGTGGATGGCGGTGGTGGGCCCGGGGGGGCAAGGCTTATGGAAGCTGGTCTTCTAAGCATTTTTTTTTAAGATTTTTAAAGTATATTTATTTTAGAGATAGATAGAGATGGGGAGAGCCAGGGGGGCGGGGAGGAGCAGAGGGAGAGGGACAAGCAGACTGCACTGAGTGCAGAGCCTGACGCAGGACTTGATCCCACAACCCTGAGATCATGACCTGAGCTGAAACCAACAGTCAAGACACTTAACCACCTGAGCCACCCTGGCGCCCCTCCGAGCATTCCTGAGAGTGTGGGAAGTTAAGAGCCTGGCACCCCACAATTCTGGCTCTCTCTCCATGGAATGGCTCGTGTTGACTGCTCACAGAGGCTCAGTGGGGACCTCCTGAAACTGTGTTAGAGTGGGGGCTGGGAGAGAGCCCCAGGGCTGTGCTGTTGGAAGAAAGAATGATGTAGGAGACAGCCGGGCAAGTTGGCATGGCCCTTAGAACCCACCGGGGGACTCTTGCCATCCATTCTCAATTTAGGTTTGCAGGAGCATCAGCCCTAGCTACTTTGCCCACATTTCCCCTAAGCTACCACCAGGAACCTTCTCTGGGCACAGCTGCCTGAAACCTTAGATCCCTGATGGCAAATCAGTTCAACTCCGCTAACTTCGCAGTGCCGGCCTGGATCTCTGGTGGAACAGGACTCCAAGGCAGGTCTGGCCTCAGCGAGCGTGCTGCGATTGAATGGTGGTGTCTGCTCTGAGCATAGGAGGAGATAGGGCAGCATGTGGGCTAAGCCTGGATAGACCGGTCCTTCCAAACATTATGCTATGGGGCTATTGCAATTATCTGTCGTGGCATTCAGTGATCCCCAAGCGTGGTCGTGGGTTAAAACACTAACAGTAATGAGTATGTCTCATGCTCTGGGCATCATCAGGCTCAGTTGGCAGCTCTGACTTGCTGTCTCTGATGTGGTTGCAGAAAGCTGGGCTGGGCTGGAGCTGCTGGCCCTTCTCCAGCACCCATCTCCTTCTCCTCTCTTCTCTCCTCCCCTCCCCTCCCTGTGGTCTCTTGTACGTTGGTCTCAGGCAGTAGGACTTTTCGTCTTGTGGCTGAAGAGCATGTGCTCAAGAGAGCAAGGCAGAAGCTACGTGGTTTTTGTGACCTAATATCTGCAGCCACATGGCGTCACTTATGCCGGACTCAGCAGGGCCAGGCACTGCCCAAGCCCACTTGGTTTCAAGGAGACCTAGACCCACCTGTCAATGGAAGGAGAGGCAAAGAATTTGCACCCACTTTCAAACCAAAGTGCAGGCCGTAAGGACGAAGAGCAGAATGGGGCCCAGATGGCCTGAGGGCCTTGTGACCCCAATCATAAACCAGCTGACCCTAAACCCGCCTCCTCGTGCCTTCCTCTGGTGCACGGGGCTACCCTCAGTGTCCTCGAACAAGGGGTGACGCCTGGTGACACACAGTAACCTGAGGGGGAGGCCGTGACATTAGCCGCTTTCCAGGCAGAAGCCAGGACTACACCCAAGACCACGGGACCAGTGAGGGGAGGCCCAGGCGACGTCGTACCTCCTCTGTGGTCCTGAGATCCTGCAGGCCAGAAGCCAGCCTGGGACAGTGGTCAGCAGGGGCAGGGAAGGTCGACCCTCAGGACACTGGAGTAGCGCTTCCGAGCGCTCGTACCCCTTAGGGCTTTGTCTCCTTTAATCCTGCCAACAGCCAGAGAGCAGGCGACTCGGTACCTGTTGTATGGATGGGAAGATAGGCTCACCGAAGTCACATGGCCACTACCAGGGTGAAGCCAGATGGGAACTAGGACCCTTCTCACCCCACACTTGTACTTGGAAACTCTGGGTCCCCCAGCCGTTCCCTGCGTCCAGAGCCACACCTCAGAGCCTTCTGATGAGGGTCTCTGCCCTGTCTTCAGGAAGCTGGAAGGAAGGAGGTAGTAAAGGAGGTCTAGGTCTGTCCACAGTGGGGACAGTGGACCGCCCAGGCAGCCACCCTCCCAAGGTCAGGCAGGCTGCTGGCTCTGAAGGCTCAGCATTATAGGGCATCTTCCAGAAGGTTCAGCCCACCCCAGGGCCTACCCTTGCCCTCTCCTGCCTATGGGAGAGGGGCAAAGGCAATGTGGGGAACGCTCGTGGGCCTCCATCTGTTTCTGGGTTGTGGGAAGATGGTTTGGGGCTAAGCTGTTTTTTATTTAATGTGCGAAATTGAAATGTCTCCTTTTTTCCCCTCCTGGAGAACCCTGGCTTTCTCTGACTGGCTCATCCATAATCTCCAAGTGTTTTATTATGTTAAATCTGTAGCATCATAAATACTTATGAGGAGGATTTACATTTGAGAGACTTATGAAGAAATCAGCCCCCTGGGGTCCTGAGCCCTCTCTAGCAAGGGGGTGGGGAGCCGGCAGCCCTCTCCCAGAATCTCACATTCCTGTGGCCTGCCCCAGGGTCCCAGGGGCTGAAGCAGTCACCACGGCCATCTCGTCCCAGAGCAGAACCACTGACACCAGGGCAACGCTTGTCTAGACTTTCTCTACCATCGTAATGGCACCGCTGTCCCCTGGGCCACTCTCCCAGGCCAGGGGGAAGAAGCAGAGTGAGGCCAGCATGCCCCCATTACGGCGTGTGGGGTGGGCTTCATGCGGGATGTTTCCTAAAGCCTCGTGGGCGTTGAAGAGAGCCCCACGCAAGATCCCTGAGGACCTGGGGCCCAGGGATGAGGCTCAGGTGCAGAATGGGTCACGTGGCAGGTAATTTGCGGGCAAGGAGGAGGCCTATGCAGGCAAGGGACCTGTGGGGACTGCGCTGCTCCTGTCCTGCCTTTGGCACTTACCTCCTCACCTCCCACCACCCTGGGGGTGCTGGGCGAGAAGTCCCCCAGCTCTCTCCAGAGCAACCTTCCTGTAGGGGCAACTAATTACCTTGTTGTGACTGGCCCCAGAGAGCTCCTGGGATGCCATCAGCATTCCTGGTGTGGACTTCGTCTTCACCAGGGCTGAGAGGAGGTAAGGTTAGAGGCAGAGGCTGCTCCGAAGGCTGGCTGGAAAGAGCAAGTGTTTCCAGTGGTCTCCCTGCCATGCTTGGGGGGGTCAAGAAGCAGAGAGTCTCCCTGCACTGCTAATAGCCCTTGCTGTCAGTTTGTGCATCCAGCGGATACTCATCAGGTCCCTCCCAGGCCCTGTGTCCGCCCTGGGGCGGGGGGAGAACAAGACAGGGCACTGTCCTGGCAGTATTCCTCATGTCTCCCAGTCTGCCCTGGGCTGCCTTCTTGCCCCAGGGGTCTGGTAAAGCTTTTTGGCCTTGGTCCCCACCCTCTCTCTCCACTTGATTGTCTTAATATTTATAATTGTAAATGGGAACGTTATGTTGACCCAGGCTCTGGGCACTTGCTGGCTCTTATCTTTGGGGTATCAGGCAGCTCCAGCTGAGGGGAGAGGGTGGAGGGCACTGTGTGTCACGGTTGAGTGTGTAGAACTACCCAGAACATCAGAGGTGGGCCTGACCACCAGCCTCCAGGGCCCCTGGTGTGCACCTACACCGGATCCTCTGGGCCCCCAGGGGTCCAGGTGCTCTACCTGGCTGCCCACCAGCTCCTGCCCAGGATGAGGCCCCTGCAGACCCTGGGAAGATGCATTGTAGTGTGGGGTTCCCCAGAAACAGGCCCTGGAACAGGGATTTTAAGTGCGAGCAGTTTATTTGGGAGGTGAAGGTAGGAGAATGGAGAGGGGGAAACGAGAGGGGAAGGCAGCCAATAAAGGATGGCTCACCAAACCAGCTCCCACAGAGAGCGACCTAGCTTGGCCTGCCTGGGGACTCTGGGACCCAGTGTGGAGCACACACCTGACGGGGAGGGAGCTGGGGTATTTATCCACCCACACCCCCATTACTGGTTGAAGCCTGCTCTTGGGAGTGTTAATTACCCGTCACTTGCAGCCTGCTTCCTGGTAGAGGGGAGGGTGCATGGGCGGGTCACCCACCAGCTAGAAACCTTGATGTGCCTCTTTGTGTTAACTCACACACTTGTAACAGACAACAGAGACACAAAAAGGATTTTCATTCTTTACGTGGAAAATTAAAGTCAGGGCTGCCTCCACACATTGCTGGATCTGGGGGATTACGTATGTCCCCAGGGCTGTCCTTCTCTTGCACTGTCCCTGGGCTCTGTGTGTGTCTGCCTGGCTTCATCCCAAATGTGGTCTCTCTCCATGCAGCCGGCCAGGTGGCAACCAGCAGCCCCCAACACGGTCGTGGCAGAGAGGGCACTTCTCCCCACCTTCCAGCCCTGGAGAGCCCTCACTGGCCCTGCCTGGCTCACATGCTAATCCCTGACCTAATCCAGCGACCCGCCCCATGGCATGGGACACTCCAGTCACCCCAGACCCAGTCATCATGTGTCCATCATCTGTGGCTGGGTCAGGGGTGGACAATGTGGCCGGCCACCTCGCCAGAACAACTTGGCGTGGAAGAAAGAGTGTTCCTCAGGGAAGGGATGCTGGCAGGCGAAGCCCGCGTGCCCACCCTGCGCCCTACTCTGAGGGTCAAGCGTTGGCACTTAGCAGGTGGACCAGGCCCTCCAGGGTAGGGCTCCGATTCCCTCCAGCTTCTGCTCTTAATCTCACCTGCAGCCCGAGGCTAGCCGCATCCCCTCTCACCAGACGTGTGCACGCACATCCCGGCACATCTTACACTCCAGCTTAGGTGCCACCTCCAGAAAGACTGTGCAACCCCTGGGCTGGGTTTTGGGCCCCCTTCGGACGCCCTGAGGCCCTCCCACTGCAGCACTGTGCACACTAAAGCAAAATGCCTGGCCCTCGTCTGGCCGGGGCCCGGGTCATCCCACACAGTGCTTGACACACAGGAGTTGCCCAACACACGCTTGTGGATCAGGCGCTGGAGAGAATGCATGTTAGCAGACAGCCCTGGGCGGAGGCTCAGCAGACCTGGGTTCTCCTCCCTGCTCCCCACGGACTCATGCCGCGACCTTGAACTGCCTCCTCACATCCTCAGGCTTCTGTCTGCCCCTCACACAGCAGAGGCGACCCCAGCTCTCCCTCCAGCGAGGATCAGAATGAAGATCAGAGAAAACTCAAGTTAGCCTGGAGCCACAAAAACACTTTGAAAAATCCTTGCTTCTCATGCTCATCATTTCACACCTATTTATGTACATATATATGTAGATACTTTTTTTTTCTTTTTGCCTTTCAGGTCTTTCTTTTTTATAAAAAAATTTTTTTTTTTTTTTTTTTTTTTTTTTTTGCGTGTATAACTAATCTGGCTTTCCTCCCAGCCCCCACCCACTGGTTAGCAGGAAAATTAACCAAACATCCAATCCGGCTTGAAGCTTAGTCTAATCTGATGATTTAAGCAGCCCCTTTCAATGATATTCTCTCTCCCTGGAATAAAAATGTGCTGTTTGCAGGAGAGCCAGCCTTCTCCGCTCCTCCCTTCAGGGCAGTGTCTGGGCAGTTGGGGGCCGGGAGGGGCGTATGGTTTGTGCTGCTGGTGTGGGTCTGGGGGCCGGCCCTGGGCTGCGCCGGCATCAGCGGCTGCCCGTGGCTACTGAGACATCACAGGAGAATCCTTCTGCCCTGGACTGTTCTGGACCACACATATTCCCTTCCTTGGGGTATCGGGCAGCTCCAGCTGCTGGGAGACGGTGAAAGGCACTCAAGGAAGCAGAGTGTCCTTCTGAGGACGCAGACCGGAGCCAGCCCTCTCGGGGTCACAATGAGTGACCTTGAGCAAGTTCTTTAGCATCTCTGACCTCAGTGTCCTTCCCTGTATGTGCGGGATAAGTAGGAGGGCCCGGCTTACAGGGCTGGTGCGAGAATGCAACAAGTCAGCATGTAGAAACACTCCGAAGAGTACTTAGCACAAATTAAGTACTATCTGGGTAATTGCTATATGATGATGATGATGATGATTTTCTGCTCGTCTCCCTCCTCCCCTCACTGCTAAGTTTTGGGAGAAGGAAGCCCCGAGGGTGGTTGCTTCGTTGAAACACTAGGCAAAGCCAGTGGGAGCTCAGCCCTGTTGGGGGGGAGCAGGGGCTTGAGAGCCCTCCTGTCCTGTCCTTGAACCTCACAGCAAGATGAAAAGAAGCAATATCCGCTGAGCATTTGCCCTGAGCTGATATTGCCCCCTGCACTCTGGGCACACCCCTCCAGAGACCCTTACAACCACCCCTGCAGGTGGATCCATTTTCCTCCCTGCTATACAGATGCAGAAGCTGAAACCAGAGAGATTGAGTTACTGACCCAGGGTCACACAGGTAGTGAGCTAGGAATGCAGGATTCAGGCCCAGGCCTCCCGGCTGCAGTGTCCCTTAAGAACCTTCACCCACCCGTGGCCCGGCGTGGGAGGCCCAAGGGGATCTCTGACCGCTTCTGGCATCCCTCCCTCCCCCCACAGGGTTCCGATTCGTGTCCGTGTGCTGGCCTCACTAACTGTCATGCTGGCCATCTTCTTGGTGATGACCGTGCTAGTGAAGGTGGACACCTCTTCCTGGACCTCTGGCTTCTTTGCTGTCACCATTATCTGCATGGCGATCCTCAGCGGCACCTCCACCATCTTCAATAGCAGTGTCTTCGGCATGACCGGCTCCTTCCCCATGAGGAATTCCCAGGCACTGATATCAGGTGAGAGCCAGACTCCAGACGGCCCACCAGGTCAGTCTACCTGGGGGTCATGCGGAGGAGCCAGAGGTGAGCATGCAGCGACCCTTCCAGAAAAGGCAACGAGTGTTAGCTATATTTCCACTATCTGTTTTTAGGTAATAAAGCACCCCAAAACTTAGTGGCTTCAAACAATAGCAGTCAGTTCTTTGGCTCACAGATCTGCAGTCTGGGCAGGAGTCGGCAGGGACAGCTCCCCTCTGCTCCCCACGGCATCAGCCGATAATCGAGCCCAACAGGGCTGGAGACCCGCTCCCGAGAAACTCAGCCAGGCCGGAGCTGGGGCCGGGGTGCTCCACTCTGCCGGGGTCTTGGCACAGCTGGGTGGGCTTCCCCGAGGCATGGTGCCTGGGTCACCAGAACGAGCATCCCAGGAGACCCAGGCAGAAGCATTATTTCCTTTCATGGCTTAGATGTGGAAGCCATTTAGGGCCACGGTCACCAAAGCCACGAGCCCACCTGGATGCGAGGGGGGAGAACACAGACCCACACACGTCAGCGGGAGAACATGAAAACCATCCTGTAGGAAGAGCAGGTGGGAGGGAAGCCAGTTGCGGCCACTTTCGGCCACTTTCGGCATCCGTCTACCAAGTGCATCTCCTGAAGCAGCATTACTTTCTTCCCTTTCTCGTCGTTCCCGTGCCTTCTCCTGTCCCCTCCCCTCCCTTCCCTTTCCTTTTGCTTCCTCTTAGCTTCTCCCCCCCTTTCTTCCTTTCTCATTTTATAGAAGTCCTACTGTGTGCCAGGGATACAAAGATGAACAAGACCCAGCCTTTCAGGAGCTGATAGCCTAGCAAATAAACACCTCCATGACCCTGAACTTTGGCATTCTCTGGAAACGCAGATGCACGACTTGGGCCAACCCCTTTGGCTGAAGTTTGATGCTGATCCTGAGCCCGTGGTCCAGGCCTTTAGCAGCTCTGTTCCCTCGCTCAGATGTCCCAACAAGATAAAAAGGAGGTGGGTCAGTAAGAATCTGTGCTTTTGCAGAAGACCACCATCCCTTAATGCCAGATTGGGGACTCAGCTGCTGTGTTCGGTGTCCGGGCACATCCCTGTTGCATGAAGGAGTGCTGTAAGCATTTGTCCACTTGAGAAGAATTTCACTAGGAATCTCTTCTGTGTCCATGAATTAATAACACCAGGCAGTATGTGGCAGGGATGACAAATACCTGGACAAGTGTGCATCCCCTCCCCACACCCGCACCAGTGCCAGACATCACTAATAGATCCGTATCTTTCCTCCTGGGCCTCCTGCCCCTTCTCAACTCAGCCCTGGAGGTGTTCCTACCTGCAGATCAGAGTTCAGATGTGAGCTCAATCTGTTTGCCATTTTGGACATAAGATTAGACTTCTGGCTCTACCTGGGGAAATCCTTGGGTCTAAAGTAAAATAAAAGTGGACCCATTGCTAAGCTTCTTGAGTACAATCAATATGCCCCTAGCAGGGCTTTGAGAAGGACATGCCTAGCCTGAGGGAAATGGCCCGTGGGCATTGGATGTAATCTCTTCTGTCACCCGAGTCGCAGAGAGAAGCTCTTGTCCCCTCAACTGCCACCATCCTGCCAAAGGATGTATTTTTCATTACAACCACATTGCTGGCTACCTGTCTAGGAGCCAGTGACCAAACACACCATTTATGCTGGCAGGGGGCCCTTCGGGTTCATCTGGCCACCTGTGAATCTTCTCAAAAAGGGAACTCTCCTGTGAGTATTTCAGAAAGTCCATTTTTTCAAAAGTTGAAAAGTCCGGCTCTCGCACTTCGGTATTGATTACCCTGGGGCCGTAAGCCAGTGTCCTCACTCTGCGGGGGGGAGGGGGGGAGGTTGAGCGCCCCTCACCCTGGAAAATCCGAGGTGGCCTGGGCCCCACCGCCACCTCCCTAGCCTCCGTCATTTCTCGTCCAGAGGAGCCCATCTGTGAATTCTGCGAGTGTAGGCTTGGGAGGAACAATTCATTTGTTTTGTGCTGGTGTTTTTTTAAGCCCCTCATTTGCATGTATTTCCATAACTGATGAGATAAAAGTAGGGAGTCATGAAAGATGAGCTCCCGGAGGCCTGGTTTGTTGTTGATGATAATATTGTAAATTCCCTACAAGTTGAGGAGAGAGAGAGGGAAATCAATAGGCAGTGATGTTAAGATCTGTTCCTCAGGGTAGCCGGCAAGTGTCTTACTCAAGTTGAGCTCCAGTTCTTACAAAACACCCAGGTGGGGATTACAGCTTCTCCGAAGTTGGCGAAGAGTTTACCCTGTTGTTGCTGCTTTGATGTAGGAAGGACAGAAATAGCAGAACACCTAACTGGGGATCTGAGAGGATTCATAGACACTTCTGTGTGCTGGGCACCTTTCTGAATGCTTTCCGGCTCAGAATCCTTTTTATCTTCGTAAGAGCCCTTTGATGTGGGTATTACTCACATCCCCATTCTACAGATGAAGACATGGAGGCACAGAGAAGTTGAGTGACTTGCTGAAGGCCACACAGCCGGAAGCGGTCGAACCAGGATTGGATTCAGATGTTCTGGTTCCAGAGTCTGTGCTCTTTGTCATCACTGCGCTTTGAAATCTCCGCCATCCTTTCAAATCCCGATGCCGGGCCCTGCCCAGGCAAATGAAGCTGAGCCCCAGCGCTGTCGGGCAGAGTGTGGGTGAGGCCCTCAACCGTTGCTCTCCGCTCCTGCTCGTGCGACACCAGGCAGAAGGTGCCGCCTGGTCAGGGCTGCATGACAATGACAGGGCCGTCCCTGCCCACGCAGACCAGTTTGCTGTTTGCTGTCTGCGGTTTGCCACCTCCTTGTCTCGCTGAGAATCAGTATCCTGGTCCTCGAATGCGGGCAGACGCGTTCATTCAGCCCGGCAGTGCAACATACTCACCAGGCCTCGGGGGACGGAGAGGACAAGTATTAGCCCCATTTTCCGGGCAAAGAAACAGAGACGGAGAGGAGTAAGTGATCTGGGGGCATGCACAACATGTCTGATCTCTTAGTCTTGCCCAGCACAGGTTGACTAGCCACGGCTGTGAGGGTTCGACAGAAAAGTAAGGCACATCCCCCCCACCCCCGCCTCCCAGAAGTGACGGTGTGATTGTGGCAATGAAGGGGACCGGTACTTGTTGAAAGCCGACCGTGTGTTGGGCCCTTTCCGGACATTCAGTCCTCAGAGCAGCTATGCAAGGCAGGGCTTGTTAGCGCCATTTTATAGACTAGCAAACTGGGGCTCCAAGGAGTCACGTTAGCCCCCAAGTCGCAGCGAGTGAGCTGCAGGGTCAAGGGTCAGATGTACATCCGTTTGGCGCCCAGAGCCATGGATCCACTAAGTTGTGCCGCCTCCTCTGTTGGTAGCGGTGAATGGTGGTGGCACGGAGTCACATGGGTCACATGGCAAAGCCCTTGGCGAGAGAGCATTCCATGTGGGAGGGCGGCTGCATGCATGTGAGTGTGAGTGTGTAAGACTGTGATAGCACAGCAATGTGTGTGTGTGAGAGAGAGAGTGTGTATGAGAAAGCGTGAGCGCGTGTGTGTTTTGCGCACACCCGTGTTCACGTGTGTATGCGCCACACCTCCCGTGGGGTACAAGGTAGGTTCCGTGAGCTCGCGGGTGGGCGACATGGCGGTTCTGTTGCTCCGAGCCATGGGAGGGCCTGTGCTAGAACATTCCCTGAACCTCTGGCCCACTTCGGCTGGTAGGTGGTTTGGGCCGAGGGCACAGGAGAGGGCTCTCTGAGAAGTCCCGGCCCTGAATCTAAAACTGCTGACTCCACCAGAAGGGCAGTGAAGAGAAATGGAGGGTCCAGGGTCGGAGGTGGAGGAAGGTGGGCCCGCCCGCCCATCTCGGTGACAGGCCTGTGCTCTCGGCAGGAGGAGCCATGGGGGGCACGATCAGTGCCGTGGCCCTGCTGGTGGACCTGGCGGCGTCCAGCGATGTGACGGACAGCACCCTGGCCTTCTTCCTGACGGCGGACGTCTTCCTGGGGCTCTGCATCGGCCTCTACCTGCTGCTACCGCGGCTGGAGTACGCCAGGTGAGGCCCGCCCTGCCGTCGGGCGGCCCCCAGCTCTGCTTCTACCGGCCGGACCTGCTTGCGGTCTTCCCTTAGCTGGCTGGGTGGCCTGGTTGCTTTCTCGCTTACTGAGCATCTCCCCACCGGGGAGAGAGCCCCCCCCC